CATGTTCGATTTTTGGTTTTCACAAAGTGTACCCCCATATAGAAATTACAGACGTAGTCCTACGCCAAAAAACATTGATTGTATTGTTTTTTTTTATGGATTTCATGATTTTAGACAGAAGGTGCAATATGTTTTTATATTCTACCGTGCAAATTTAGGCTTTTTCACACAACTTATCAAAAATTTGGCAATTTCGTTCTTGAGTTATATTTTTTGAAATTATCAAGATTTGGGTTTTCGCTCAATACTCCAATGGGTCTAGACTATGCATCTCCAGTGATTTAAAGTGACTGCCACATGGTCGCAATGATTTTTCTAAAAAGCATTTTTAATTACCTTTCATTTGATATTTTCATCTTTGAAATCGGCCCAGTGGTTCAAAAGTTATGATTTCTTTTAATTAAGCCATTAACTTACATGGAAATGGTCACCCTAATGGCAAAATAAAAAACATGGGTCAAATAGAAGGAACAAAATGTTTAAAGACAAGAATATCCAGACACTTTCAAATCTACAAGACACTGACTTACATTATGGGTGCTCTCAAACAAGCTTTCAATTTTAACAATAGTGAACTTCGGTATCTATGATGAATGTTCGGAAGACAAAAAGTCGAAGAACAAAAGGTCATAGGGCAAAAGGTCGAAAAGACAAGACATCGAATGGACAAAAGATCAAATTAAATTTAAAGGGACATAAGGTAGAATGGACAGAATTTCAAAATGGAAAATAGATCAAAGGGACAAAAGGTTGAAATTGGGAGGAAACAGAACGATATTTTAAGATATAAATGGTCCCCTGTGGGGTTTTAGGACAAAACCCAAGTAGCACAATTCTGTCTCAAAAAGTTGCAGCAACTTGTTTATAAATGAAATAAGCCGTATATAAGTTTCCAAGACAAATTTATAACAAGGGTGCTACTAGGGAAAGTCGATGGGTAAAAGATTGAATGAACAAATGGTCAAATGAACAAAAAATCGAATGAATTTTAGGGGGACAAAGGGTTGAAATGGGCGATCAGCGAATGAAGTTTAAAGGTACAAAACGATGAATGAACAAAAAATCGAAAAAAACGTCAAATGGACCAAAGGTCAAATAAAATTTAAATGAACAAAATGTGGAATGGAAAAAAAAAAAGTTTGAAATAGGTGAGAGGCTGAATAAACAGAGCATCGATTAAAATTCAAAGGGACTAAAGATCCAAGCGACATAAGGTCAACGGGACACATGGTATAAAGGTCGATCATATTTAGTGGATTAAAAAATTGATAGAATAAATGATTGGAAAAGGTTGGTTGGTTGGTTGGTTGTCTTTATTAAGGAGATGTTCAGCCAGACGCTGGTTGGTAAAGGCTAAATGCTAAGTGAAGCAAGACAATCGAAGACTTCGAGTAATTTAACTAAAATAATGGTTTGCGCTCTTGTAGTTGACTCCTTTTTTCATAACATCAGTGGTTTTTTGCCAGACAAAACCATTTGAATTCACATTAGAACCATTTTCGACCTATTGTCCATTTCGATCTTTTGACTACTCGTTATTTTCTATATTCGATATTTTGCCCCTTTTAATATAATTCGACCTTTTGGCCTTTCGACGTTGTGTCCATTCGAGCTTCAGCCTCTTTTCATTGAATTCAAATTTATGTCCCTTCACACAGGGTTGACATGCATAATATCGACCTCAGTGTTCCCAATAGTGGGCCTTTATATACATTTCGAAGGAAAGCATTTTTTGCCAATTTTCACTAGTAACCAAAAGCTGCGTTAACATTTCGTGTTCTCGACGAGTTTGTTATGTTCCCTTTAAATATTTTTTATAAATTTTCAAAACATTTACAGACCAACACAATAATGAAGATTGGCCTTAAAATGATATAGAAAACTTTTAGACTCTGTCCAAAGCTAGTTCGACTTCCCCGAACATGCTATAATTTTGAAGATTCAATAATAGGCTAAACTTCCAAGACTTCCTCAGATTTGGTTAAATGTTTCTAGCAAAGGAGACGTATTTTATCGTTGTAGTGTAATAACAATTATTCCCTCCACCTTCGTAGCTCATTTCCCTATAAAGGGTGTCCACAGTTAAATTGCAGAACTTTAAAAAAAAACCGTTCCATTTGGCCCTGTGGGTTTGTTTTAATGTAATTTTGGGTGGGATGGCCTCAGCGTGTATTGTTTACACTGCGTGAGATTCATTGTGAAATTTTTAGTGTTTTTTTCTAAATGGAGTCGAAGGAACAGCACGTGCTGAGAAAATTTTGCACACTCACCTCAACAACCCAAATTTTTTACACTGAGCCATCGGAAGATGTTGGAAATCCAAAAATCTACTGTATATCGTATCATAAACAATTTCCGAGAACGTTTAACTGTCGATCGAAAGCAAATAAGTGCAAGAAAAAGTATTCCATACTGCGTTGAAGATCACAAGCGAGTGGTTGCTGCCTTCAAACCCAAACCCAACTATTCCGTTCGGGATGTCGCGAAAAATTTGCACTTGACAAAAATTTTCGTGCAGAAAGCCAAGAATCGAGCAGGATTACGTTCATTCAAGGTTCAGAAAACACCAAACCGCAATGAACGACAGAATAGGACAGCTAGAACGCAAGCACCTAAGCTGTACACACAAATATTGACAAAACCACACTGCTGTATCATGGACGATGAAACATACGTAAAAGCGGACTTCAAACAAATTCCGAGAAACCAGTATGTGACTGCAAAAGACAAGTTCGATGTTTCAGAGTCCCTCTTGAAACAGCAAGTGCTGAAGTTCCCCTAGAATTGGCAGGCTGTTCATGCGGAAAACGGAGCAAACCTTTCGTAACAACTACAACCGTAATTGGCCAAGTCTACTTGAATGAGTGTCTGAAGAAACGACTGCTTCCGTTCCTCAAATCGCACAAAGTTTCTACAATGTTTTGGCTGGATCTAGCCTCTTTTCACTGCTCCAAGGACGTTCTGGAGTGGTACAAGACGAATGGGGACAATTTCGTGCCGAAGGATCTCAATCCTCCAAACACACCGGAGTTGCGGCCGATCGAAAAATACTGTGCTATAATGAAGCACGAACTCCGTAGGCATTCACTACAGTGACTACGGAGCAGGAAATGTTGAAATCATGGTTGAAAGCAGAAACAAAAATGTTAATTCAACCGTTTTACAAAACCTTATAGGTAAAAATTAAGAATAAAGTTCGGGTATTTGGACCTGATGAAGAAATATAGTGAAATAAAGATACACGACACCAAGCATATATATATAGCTTTGAATTCTTTGAAAATATCATGACAATCGGTTGAGAAACTTATTTTTGGCGACTACTTCTAAGTGATGCAATTCAACTGTGGACACCCTTTATCTAATACATGAGAGGTTTGAACTTCTGCAGATCTTCCTCCTCCGTCAAACTCTGCGTAATTTTGTAGATTTTTCTTTTCGTTTTTTTTTTTGAGACCAAGAGTATATTTAATAATGATACACCAAAAACTTTCGCCCAATATCAAGCTTTGCAGTCTTAAAATTTATCTGAAAGACGTTGTCGGTCGCTTGTTAGGTGGGAAATGGCCGAATACCTGGTGAAATAGCACTGTTCGGTCTATCGCTAATTTTTAAGATTGGTTGACAAAGTCAACTAGGCCCATTTCAAGTTTAGTCCATAAATATCGAAGATCTCCTTTATATTTTAATATCAAATATCTAATAAATTGAAAAAAAAAAAAAGTAGAAGGGTCTGTGCCTAGGGGCACGAACGGAAGCTTGACGTAGGACCGCTTCTTTTAATTGATCAATTATCTATTATCTCAACTCTTTCCGTTTTTGAATTGTAGGCGTACCTAATTTGTAGAATTTTTATTCAAATAGAAAGTTGATTAAGAGAATCAATCAAAATCACTTGCACCCCTGCTTGCAAGTTTGGTTACAAGATTATAACTCTGGAGAGCATTTTGTGTGGTCTTTGGGGGCTTGTGGTTATGAATATGGACAAACAAGTACAGATAAATTCTATTCCAACTCTTTACTGATGTAAGCTTGATGGCCCTGAAAAGGGCCGATTAATTGAAGAGGACATCCATGGCCACTTACGCTTGGCGTGTTTAGTGTAGGTGACAGCATCACGGATCTCATTTTTCAGGAACAATTTCAACACACCTCGTAAATCAGACCGGAGATACGTCAGACACCGCAACGGCGAGCCAGACGACGGATGGTGGTTATCTCGAAGAATTTGCGTTTGGTTCTGAATATGGTGATGAGTGTGCAAAATATTACGCAATTCCATCCTCCCTATTCGCACGCGCCCGAGGATCGGAGGCGAATGCCACTTAGACTTGATTCGTCTACTTACTACTCTCTGACGACTGTGCTGGGGAAGCAGCATATGCATGTAGGTAATTGGTGGATTTGTTAGTTAATTCGACGCTTTTGGACAATGCTGGACATTTACCAGTTTGTCAATAGCTTCTTGTTGAAAATCAACATTCGGAAGCATTGTTATCGATGCGTAGCCATATTTCTGATCGATTGGTGATAAAATTATTGAAATTGGACCAGGGGCAGCTGAATTATTAACGTTCAAAATCTTTCTTAATTTGTTACATGTTCCATTTTTGGTTTTGACAAAGTGCCCCCCATATAGAAATCAAAGACGTAGTCCTACGTCAAAAAAAGAGACCCCTCTCTTGGCTCAGTAAATAAGGGCATGACTGTAAAGAAAAAACTATACTGTAGACGGTGGACTAAATATATGCATGACCTATTTTGGCTTATCATAAATCCCAAGACAATAAGGAAGAGCTTGTTTGGTTTAATTTTTAATTTTAATCTTATCAGCTTTCTTTATCAAATCTATAATTCGCTTTGAGATATCATTTGATTGCATATGTGCAACGCATAATAATAAGTGACCTACACCAATAAGCCATCACTGGTGGGTTATTTTGTATCGATGGCAAGATAAGCAGATATTTGCAACTGGTCATTATAAAAATCCGTGCAATTTTACCATCAGTACATCAGTAAGCTTCAAAGAATTAATTGAAACCACAACCTCTAGTAACGAAACAAATAATGATTGTTCAGATCATTAGTATCACAGTGCTTATTCAAGCACTCGCAGCTGCACCTTTTGACCAGCGAATCATCAACGGAACAGATACGACGATCGAAAATTTTCCCTTCGCATTCTCGTTAAGGACTTCATCCGGTAGTCACAGCTGTGGTGGAAGTATTATTAGTAAACTTTGGATGCTCTGTGCAGCCCATTGTGTCAACGAGTACACTAGCCCTATCCTGCAGTCAGTCCAAGTTGGTCGAACGGATATATCTAAACCAGTCGATAGTTCTGTGTATGAAATTGATCAGGTCATTATTCACCCCAACTATGATCCGTATAATAGTTACGTGAATGATATTGCCTTGATTAAGTTAAGACGTCCGTTGGAGTATAGTGAATCCATTCAACCAGTGCAGCTGCCAATGCCATGCTTTGAGGTTCCGGAATCGAATCTGGAAGTTACACTGATTGGATGGGGTGTGACTGATGCAGGGATTGTAGCCACCACTTTGCAAAAAGTTAACTACTACGCTGTACCAAATGAGGAATGCGACCTGATTCACAGCAACATAATCCATCCAAGTCAAATCTGTGCTGCCTATCCGGGCGGTGGAAAAGGACAATGCAGCGTAAGAACGAATTGATATTAAATAATAAATGAATAAAACATTAATTAATATTTAACTCAACAGGGTGATTCCGGTGGTCCATTGGTGCACAACGGAGTTCAAGTCGGAATTGTGTCATGGAGTATCAAACCTTGTACGGTTGCACCGTATCCTGGAGTATTGACCAAGGTTTCGCACTACATTGAATTCATTTACCAGCATACGGACTTGGACCCTACCACGAACAAAAATGCAAAGTGTTCTTAAAGTTTCAATACATATATTAAGTATATTAGTACACATTAATACACCCTTAAAGGTATTTTTTACTGAAACTTCTGTATTCTGTGGGCGCCTCCTCCCATACAATGACATAGCTCCATATGCAAATTTAATTCTTTACAACTTAAGAATGATCAATTGGATTTCTTCCTCAATTCTATACACTCAGTCTAGTTTGGCATAAACTAGCAGAGCCGATTAACTCTGCAGTTTTTTTATGAGAATCTCGGTTTGTTTATTTGATAGCTTTCTTTTGATACAGGGGAAACTGGACACATTTCATCAATCGGGACTAAGAAATCAAAAATATCTCAAATGACAAAATGACAAGCGAACAACGAGCCAAATGAAAACGCCATGTCAGAAATTAAAATAAATAATTATATGATCTTCTTCCCATTTTGCCATGAAAATCTGCTTTTGCAATATGGCTAGCTCAGGGCGGTAGAAGGAAACGACCAAATTTTCGGCAAGCTGCTTTACATGTGTGTTAATGTGATTTTTTTTTGTTATGCCTTTCCTCGATTCCGATCAAGCTTTAGACTTTTCTGACGTTTGTAAATTGCACAAGTATTAGTGCAGACATTTGGGTAAATTATAAGTATTGGTGCAAGAAATCCTTTGAATTTACCCAAAAATTCTGCACTAAAACTTGTGTAATTCACAAGCGTCAGAGAAGTATACACGCTATTTCAAAACTACCCAAATTTGGGTAGAATCCACCCAGATCCGTCAAAACTGAACCTACCCAAAAATGGGTACACTGTGTTGGGAGTGACAAGTTGACAAATGGACAATGTCGATCGGATTGATGTGAATTTTGTTCATTTGTCAACTTGTCACTCCCAACACAATTTATTTATTTTTGGGTAGGTTCAGTTTAAACGGATCTGGATGTTAGTTTTGAAATAGCGTGTATATTATTATCCTTCTACAACTCCGATCAAGCTTTACTACAGAGAGAGAGTTTATCATGGTAGTAGTAGTGTTTTGTCTATATATGGAGAAACAAATGTTATCAATACTTCTCTTTTTACAGCTAAGGTTATAGAGGAAAGAAGGGCAGTTTAGTCACCTTATTAAATATATAAAAATTGTAACTGAAATAAAACCATTGGGGTAAAATGAGCACCCAATTGGAGTGGTATTAGAAATCAATGACAATTTATATAGTTTCTGAATGCTTAATTAAAAGCTATAAAACAGTACGGACAGGTGTATATTCTGATATAATGTTTTTACATTTTGAGTATTTTACGGAGACGATGAAGTCGTTCGGACCTCTTAAAGGCAAACTCGTATGTATAATTGTTTAGAGTTAGCTTTCTTTTTTTTTTCCTTTGGTTTGTTTTTTCCGTCGATCTTGTTTTCCGTGCTGAGCACCAATGCTACCGACGTGCCAGGAAGGCAGCTCCCACACCTGGACCCTACCTATCGACCCATCAACTCATGAACCGGGAACCAACGGCTTTACTTCCCATCCGAAGGAAGGCGTGATCAGAGATGTTATGCCTCAGAACATCCCGGCGGTGCCGACTGGGATTGAACCCAGGCCTGCTGGGGTGAGAGGTAATCACGCTTACCACTACACCACCGGCGCCGTTAGAGTTAGCTTTCAGCTGCTGTAATTTTATAATTTTTTTAGTTTCAACGCATGTTTTTAGCACATTTTACGTTACTTAAAATTTGAATCTACTTCGTAAACAATCATTCCTCTGTCGTAACAATAGTTCATGCTTATTCTTTGAGTCCTTGTCAATTATATGGTTCAATTAGTATTATGTGTTAATTTAAAAGCAAAGTGTACTAACAATTACAGTTATAATTAACAAATTTATAGTCCAAATTTTACCAATTATTTACTTTTAAGGTGTTGTATGTTCTGTGTTGATCGTGATAATGATATAATATTGATAAAAGAAATTGGTAAATGACAATCCAACTAACATTTTCACCTTTATAAGCCAACTTTTCCAGGGTTGTGCTGTAAAGTAGCTGAAATAAAGCTGCAGATACAGCTACAAGCAGAAGCTAGCAAAATAGTTTTGGTGAACGTTTACTCAATTTTTTCACAACCATTATTCAATTTGTCATTTGCACTGAATAACATCACCCAATAAACGCTAGTGTCACTTCTTTGCAAATATGAATCAACTTTCAAATTTTAGCTGCAAAACAAAGCTGATAAAGCGATTGTATTACTTATTTGATGGCTTCTACTCAACCAACCACTCTTGCTGAATAACATAAAAATCAAAAGTGCTTTTTCAACAACTAGTCAATCTATACTCAACTAATAAACTGTGTTCGCGCTACTTTGAAAGCTATTTTACAGTCAACTAAGTTTATTTTTAGACACGTGTAGTTTTACAGTTTTTACTCTGCTTCTTTACAAAGCTGAATTAACTAGTCGAGAAAAGTGATTCATGTGCACTATTATAAAGCCACTACTCAGCGATCTTGTTGTAGAAGGGAATGTAAATTTGTTTACGTCAGTTCAAAGTGTTGGCGTAAAGTTGGTAGTATCAAGGTTCGCCAATGCGGTCGTCTCAAATTCGATTCCAGGTTCCGGTACATTGTAAATAATTTGGTGGTGTTGCTTTCAATTAACTTGATTCGCAGTAAAATAAACAAGATAAATTCATAAAAAAAAGCGTAAACAATATTTAACCTGGCGTCAAGAGAGAGCTGTGTAGAGATTATTAGATAATTCGGTAAAAGTTGAGTAAGCGCCTTTCAAGTTCATACACAACTAAACAGCAGGATAACAGATGTATATAAGCGTAACTAGATATGCAATAAGAGCTTGTCCCAACACTCCCAACAGCCATAAGTAGCTGACTAATACTGATGAATGTGGACGCCTTAGTGGGAATACCTGTATAATGAGAGAGAGAGAGAGAAGGATTAGTAATTTCAGTTTAATTCCACTACCTTATTTGCTTATCCTTGACAGATACGCGTATTTCGTCTACAATGTGCAGACTTCTTCAGTGTCTTGTACTAATACTCGACTGAAGAAAAACATCGCATTTACCGAATATATATTAACACAGGTACATGTTCACTTAGAAACTAGGTAAAGTTAAATTTAATTTCCTGTAGGAACAGGCTGCTTACTCGTTGATGTGTCCTAGGTAGTAACTTGAAAAGCCATGTGTGTCCGTTTCCTGTTGAGTAAAGTTGAATTACGTTGTTTGTTGATCTCGAGGCTTTCTGTAACATCCAATTTCCATGGTGTAGATACGGTTCGTAAAATTGTGATGTCCTCGGTCGATAGTTGGTGGTCCTCTGTGAAGATGTGTTCTGCAACCTTTGATTTGAAATCATATGTTAGGCCTTTTTTCCTCTTGCTTTTTGGTCTTATTAACCTCCGCTATATGTTCTTTAAATTTAGTTGCTAAAGTTCTCTTGGTTTGTCCTACATATACTTTGTTACAATGATTACAGCTTATTTTATATACACCTGCTTTACCTAAAACATTAACTGGGTCTTTAGTGGATCCTAACAATGATTTCAACCGGTTATGTCTACTGGTGAAAACTAAATCTAATCCGAATTGTTTTAACTGTGTTCTTAGCTTACAAGTAATATCTTGATCAAATGGAACGGACACTCGTTGCGGTGAGGGTTGTTAATAATCTCCTTTGTAGAATTCTCGCTTTTTTTTATCGATGATTGCCTGGATTGTGGTCTCCTTGTATCCGTTGAGTCTTGCTGTTTCGAAGATGTACTGTAATTCCTTAACCTTTCCTGTATCGCTGAGTGGAAGAGTCTGCATTCGTTGAATCATGTGGTGAAAGGCGGCCATTTTCTGCTGGAACGAATGGTTGGAAGTATAGGGGATAACTCTTTTGGTGCTTGTTGGTTTCCTGTAAATTGCGTATTCAAGCGAGGAAGATGATGACGATTCCCTGATGACTAGAAGATCGAGAAATGCGAGTTTCCCGTCACTTATTCCATTAAGACGCCCCCATTCATCAGGATTCATCATGGCAACCAAGCCGTCGGAGCCAAATAAATTCATCGGATTGAAGAAAACCATCGCATCGCTTCACAAGGACGGAGCATTTCTGAAGAAATGCCAAAAATATAAGGTTATACCTATAAGCCATAGGATTAAGGTACGGACACCCACCCCACCCAGCGTAGTAAAGAGGATGGAAGCAGAGTTCATCAAGGATCCCAACAAACAATTGCCTATTGAAGAAACGACTTCTTGACAATTTTATTCCACTTCATGCTTAATAATACTTGTACTATTTTTAATAATAACTTCTGTTCAGGCTTTGTTCACACAAATCTGGAGAATTTATTCAACCACAACATCGAAATATTTGGTGTTGAATAAGGTATGTCGAGAAGCTTTTATTCGACTTACAAGAGTTGTAAACAGAGCTTATTCGATCAAATTTTTGATTATTCAGTGTTTATTAGACCATATTTACTTCCTTAAACAGCGATGGTATAAAGGTGTATATAGACGCTTGAATCTCATGTGAAATAATGTTTAATTAGACACTATTATACATTTATTAAACGATTATTCAACTACGGGATAATTAATCCGAAAATAAGAACGGCACAGAGCAGGGTTGTTCTCGTTAGTGATTGTTGTGTCATTATTTCTGTCGAATTTATTACATATACATACACACACACACACATGTCATTATTATATGGGATTCGAACCATAACCTTCCGATCACCAGCCGCTTGCCTTGCCATCTGAGCTATCCTAGATACATCATATGAGCAGCTAAATAAGCAATAAAAGCTTGAATCTGAAAACCTCAGCGTTTCCAGCCGTAACTTTAGCTAATTCAAGAAGATGTGAGAATGATTAATTCATTAGTAGTTGTTTAACATTAGACCAACGTTACCTCTCCATCGCTCTAATTTCGATGGAAAGGATGCTATTCTTTTCGATAGATCTATGAATTGGTTGTCGTGAGTGATACGATTTATGATTACGATTTAAATT